GACTGGCAAATTGGATAAAGAGTCAAGACCCATCAGTGTGCTGTATTCAGGAGACCCATCTCACATGCAGAGACATTCAAAGGCTCAAAATAAAGGGATGGAGGAAGATCTACCAAGCAAATGGAAAACAACAAAAAAAAGCAGGGGTTGCAATCCTGGTCTCTGATAAAACCGGCTTTAAACCATCAAAGATCAAAAGAGACAAAGAAAGCCATTACATAACGGTAAAGGGATTAATTCAACAAGAGCTAACTATACTAAATATATATGTACCCAATACAGGAGCACCCAGATTCATAGAGCAAGTCCTTAGAGACCTACAAAGAGACTGAGACTCCCATACAATAATAATGGGAGACTTTAACACCCCACTGTCAACATTAGACAGATCAACGAGACAGAAAGTTAACAAGGATATCCAGGAATTGAACTCAGCTCCGCACCAAGTGGACCTAATAGACATCTACAGCACTCTCCACCCCAAATCAACAGAATATACATTCTTCTCAGCACCACATCACATTTATTCCAAAACTGACCACATAGTTGGAAGTAAAGCACTCTTCAGCAAATGTAAAAGAATGGAAATTATAACAAACTGTCTCTCAGACCACAGTGCAATCAAACTAGAACTCAGGATTAAGAAACTCACTCAAAACCGCTCAACTACATGGAAACTGAACAAGTTGCTCCTGAATGACTATTGGATACATAACGAAATGAAGGCAGAAATAAAGATGTTCTTTGAAACCAATGAGAACAAAGACACAACATACCAGAATCTCTGGAACACATTTAAAGCAGTATGTAGAGGGAAATTTATAGCACTAAATGCCCACAAGAGAAAGCAGAAAAAATCTAAAATTGACACCCTAAACATCACAATTAAAAGAACTAGAGAAGCAACAGCAAACACATTCAAAATGCCTTCTAGCAGAAGGCAAGACATAACTAAGATCAGAGCAGAACTGAAGGAGACAGAGACAAAAAAAACCCTTCAAAAAATCAATGAATCCAGGAGCTGGTTTTTTGAAAAGATCAACAAAATTGATAGACCACTAGCAAGACTAATAAAGAAGAAAAGAGAGAAGAATCAAATAGACACAACAAAAAATGATAAAGGGGATATCACCACCAATCCCACAGAAATACAAACTACCATGAGAGAATACTACAAACACCTCTATGCAAATAAACTAGAAAATCTAGAAGAAATGGATAAATTCCTGGACACATACACCCTTCCAAGACTAAACCAGGAAGAAGTTGAATCACTGAATAGACCAATAACAAGATATGAAATTGAGACAATAATTAATAGCCTACCAACCAAAAAAGTCCAGGACCAGATAGATTCACAGTTGAATTCTACCAGAGGTACAAAGAGGAGCTGGTACCATTCCTTCTGAAACTATCCCAATCAATAGAAAAAGACAGAATCCTCCCTAATTCATTTTTATGAGGCCAACATCATCCTGATACCAAAGCCTGGCAGAGACATAACAAAGAAAGAGAATTTTAGACCAATATCCCTGATGAACATCAATGCAAAAATCCTCAGTAAAATACTGGCAAACTGAATCTAGCAGCACATCAAAAAGTTTATCCACCACGATCAAGTTGGCTTCATCCCTGGAATGTAAGGCTGGTTCAACATACACAAATCAATAAATGTAATCCATCATATAAACAGAACCAAATACAAAAACCACATGATTATCTCAGTAGATGCAGAAAAGGCCTTTGACAAAATTCAACAGCTTTTCATGCAAAACTCTCAATAAACTAGGTATTGATGGGACGTATCTCAAAATAGTAAAAGCTATTTACGACAAACCCACAGCCAGTATCATACTGAATGGGCGAAAACTGGAAGCATTCCCTTTGAAAACTGGCATAAGACTGGGATGCCCTCTCACACCACTCCTATTCAACATAGTGTTGGAAGTTCTGGCCAGGGCAATCAGGTAAGAGAAAGAAATAAAGGGTATTCAATTAGGAAAAGAGGAAGTCGAATTGTCCCTGTTTGCAGATGACATGATTGTATATTTAGAAAACCCCATCGTCTCAGCCCAAAATCTCCTTAAGCCGATAAGCAACTTCAGCAAAGTCTCAGGATACAAAATTAATGTGCAAAAATCACACGCATTTTTATATACCAATAACAGACAGAGAGCCAAATCATGAGTGAACTCCCATTCACAATTGCTTCAAAGAGAATAAAATACCTAGGAATCCAACTTACAAGGGATGTGAAGGACCTCTTCAAGGAGAACTACAAATCACTGCTCAACGAAATAAAAGAGGACACAAACAAATGGAAGAACATTCCATGCTCATGGATAGGAAGAACCAATATTGTGAAAATGGCCATACTGCCCAAGGTAATTTATAGATTCAATGCCATGCCCATCAAGCTACCAATGACTTTCTTCACAGAATTAGAAAAAACTATTTTAAAGTTCATATGGAACCAAAAAAGAGCCCACATTGCCAAGACAATCCTAAGTCAAAAGAACAAAGCTGGAGGCATCACGCTACCTGACTTCAAACTATACTACAAGGCTACAGTAATCAAAACAACAGAGTACTGGTACCAAAACAAGAGATATAGACCAATGGAACAGAATAGAGCCCTTGGAAATAATACCACACATCTACAACCATCTGATCTTTGACAAACCTGACAAAAATAAGAAATGGGGAAAGGATTCCCTATTTAGTAAATGGTGCTGGGAAAACTGGCTAGCCATATGTAGAAAGCTGAAACTGGATTCCTTCCTTATACCATATGCAAAAATTAATTCAAGATGGATTAAAGACTTAAATGTTAGACCTAAAACCATAAAAACCCTAGAAGAAAACCTAGGCAATACCATTCAGGACATAGGCATGGGCAAGGACTTCATGACTAAACACCAAAAGCAATGGCAACAAAAGCCAAAACTGACAAATGGGGTCTAATTAAACTAAAGAGCTTCTGCACAGCAAAAGAAACTACCATCAGAGTGAACAGGCAACCTACAGAATGGGAGAAAATTTTTACAATCTACCCATCTGACAAAGGGCTAATATCCAGAATCTACAAAGAACTTAAACACATTTACAAGAAAAAATCAAACCATCAAAAAGTGGGTAAAGGATATGAACAGACCCTTCTCAAAAGAAGACATTTATGCGGCCAAGAGGCACATGAAAAAATGCTTATTATCACTGGCCATCAGAGAAGTGCAAATCAAAACCACAATGAGATACCATCTCACACCAGTTAGAATGGCAATCATTAAAAAGTCAGGAAACAACAGGTGCTGGAGAGGATGTGGAGAAATAGGAACACTTTTACACTGTTGGTGGGACTGTGAACTAGTTCAACCATTGTGGAAGACAGTGTGGTGATTCCTCAAGGATCTAGAACTAGAAACACATTTGACCCAGCCATCTCATTATTGGGCATATACCCAAAGGATTATAAATCATGCTGCTATAAAGATACATGCACACATATGTTTATTGCAGCACTATTCACAATAGCAAAGACTTGGAACCAACCCAAATGTCCATCAATGGTAGACTGGATTAAGAAAATGTGGCACATATACACCATGGAATACTATGCAGCCATAAAAAAGGATGAGTTCGTGTCCTTTGTAGTGACATGGATGAAGCTGGAAACCATCATTCTGAGCAAACTATTGCAAGGACAGAAAACCAAACACCTCATGTTCTCACTCATAGGTGGGAACTGAACAATGAGAACACTTGGACACAGGGTGGGGAACATCACACACCGGGGCCTATGGTGGGGTGGGGGGAGGGGGGGAAGGATAGCATTAGGAGATATACCCAATGTAAACGATGAGTTAATGGGTGCAGCACACCAACATGGCACATGTATACATATGTAACAAACCTGCACATTGTGCACATGTAGCCTAGAACTGCAAGTATATATATATAAGTGTGTGTGTGTGTGTGTGTGTGTGTATATATATATAGAGAGAGAGAGAGAGAGAGAGAGAGTGGGCCGGGCGCGGTGGCTCACGCCTGTAATCCCAGCGCTTTGGGAGGCCGAGGCGGGCGGATCACAAGGTCAGGAGATCGAGACCACGGTGAAACCCCGTCTCTACTAAAAATACAAAAAAAAAAAATTAGCCGGGCGCGGTTGTGGGCGCCTGTAGTCCCAGCTACTCGGGAGGCTGAGGCAGGAGAATGGCGTGAACCCGGGAGGCGGAGCTTGCAGTGAGCCGAGATCGCGCCACTGCACTCCAGCCTGGGCGACAGCGCGAGACTCCGTCTCAAAAAAAAAAAAAAAAAAAAAAAAGAGAGAGAGAGAGTGGTATGGCACTATTCACAACAGCCAAGACACGGAATTAACCTAGATGTCCAACAACAGATGAATGGATACATAAAATGTAGTACATATACACAATGGAATAAAAAAGAATGAAACCTGTCATTTGTGGCAATAGATGGAACTGGCAGACATTATGTTAAGTGAAATAAGCCAGGAACAGAAAGTTAAACACTGTATGTTCTTACTCACGTGGAAGTTAAAGAAAAGTTGATATCATAGAAATAAAAGGTAGAACAAAGGATACTAAAGACTGGGAAGGGGAAGATAGGGAGAGATTTGTGGGAGAGATTTGTGTAAGGATACAAAATCACAGCTACATAGGAGGAATGAGTTCTAGCGTTCTGTACCACTATAGGATGGCTATAATAAATAACATATGATATAATTTCAAATAGCTACAAGTAGGATATTGAATGTTCCCAAGACAAACAAATGATAAATGCTTGAATTGATAAATATGCTAACTACTCTGATTTGATTACAATACATTATATATATGAAAATATTACTATATGCCCCATGAATATGTACAACTACTATTTGGCAATTAAAATAAATAAAATAAAATAAATAAAGAATATTTGTTATTCTGGGAAAAAAAATGCCACTGAACCCGAAGAAAGCATTAAATTGACAGTGGTACTACAGATTAGATGCCTTTATTAAATATAAATACATCAAATATAAACGTTAAATGGCTAATTTTTAATCAAGTAACACCAACTAAACATTGAATGTTATAAACATTTAAAACATTTAAAGAAAATGCAGACTTAAATGTTAACCTTACTATTAATAAAAATGCAACTTAAATATTATATTACTTTCAAAAAGTAAGCAATTAAAGAAACATCTATTCTATATTTCTATCAGATAAGGCATAAAATTAGCCTTTGAAAATTGTTGTAACAATACAACAGAACTTTTCACAAAATGAATGCAAGCACTATAGGGAACATTTAAATTTAAGTACCAAAGCACATACAAGTTTACCCTTCCTAGCGAAAATGGCTAACGCACCTGAATGTTTTATACTGAAGTCATAAAAATGCATGAAATGTATCATGACGTAATTTAATTATCTTGGAAGCCTGAAAGTATACACATTCCAAAATGTTGTATGATTCTGAATGTATCTATACAGTTTATCTGTTATCCTATAATCCAATATAAGAGTCTTAAGATAAAGTTCAGGTAAATTACCTTTTTTTATGTATGGAAATCATTTCACAAACATTGATATAACAACAAACCTCTTTCTTGGTCAGTATATTTTAAAAGTGACTTAATAAAGGTTTTTAAAATGGACAAGACCATTTCTTTAGATCCCAAATACGCACCTTGATGTTCTAAACAACAAGATTGAAATAAAAAATTTTAAAACTTATTAAAATTATATTTTAACTTTAAACAAACAGAGATCTTAATATTGTATAGACAACTGCTGCTCGATTTTAAAGGAGGGCTATGAAGTAGAATATTTTAACAGCTTAGCCCATTTACACAACCTAATTACATCATCTTGTTATTACTACTTTTTCCTAAGTGCTGTAGAACATTCTCTGAAGGAGGAGACACACTATCCAAGGAAGTTCTAGAATCAAAAGGAGAAATCAACAATGATTGTTGAGTATCTTTTATTAAATACATTCCTAGGCCCTTGTTTTTAATGGTACTATAATATCTTTTAACAAATTTCATTTTTCTTACATCATGGATAGTGAGAATTGCAATTAATTTTTGTGTAATGTCTTTGTATCTAGCAATCATTTTAACTCTAATATTTCTTTCACATGCCTCTAATTTTATTTTGATAAAGAAAAATAAGATATTTTATTTTAAACTTCTATTTTAGTTTCAGGGGCATATGTGCAGGTTCATTATATATATATAATTTACATGTGGGGTTTAGCGTATAGATTATTTCATCATCCAGTTAATAAGCGTGGTACCAGATAGGTAGTTTTTTGATCCTTACCATCCTCCTACCATCTACCCTTAAGTAGGCTCCAGTGTCTGCTGTTCCCTTCTTTGTCCATATGTACTCAAAGTTTAGCTCCCATTTATAAATGAGAACACGTGGTATTTGATTTTCTGTTTTTGCATTAGTTTGCTTGATAATGGCCTCTAGCTTCATCCATACTGCTGCAAAGCACATCATCTCGTTCTTTTTTATGGCTGCATAGTACTCCATAGTGTATACATACACTTCTCTTTATCCAGTCTACCACTGATGAGCATTTAGGTTGATTTCATGTCTCTGCTATTGTGAATAGTGCTGTGATAAATATACACATGCATGTATCTTTATGGTACAATGATTTACATTCCTTTGGGCATATATTCAACAATGGGATTGCTGGCCCGAATGGTAGTTCTGTTTTAAATTCTTTGAGGAATTACCAAACTGCTTTCCACAATGACTGAACTAATTTATATTCCCACCAACAGTGCATAGGCATTCCCTTTTCTCTACAACCTTGTCAGCATCTGTTATTTTTTGACTTTATTTAATAATAGCCATTCTGACTGGTATAAGATGGTATCTTGTGGTTTTGACTTGCATTTCTCCAATGATTAGTGATACTGAGCATTTTTTCATATGCTTGTTGGCCAGGTGAATGTATTCTTTTGAGAAATGTCTGTTCACGTCCTTCACCCATTTTTTAATGGTTTTTTTTTTCCCTGTTAAGTTCCTTACAGATTCTGGATATTAGACTTTTGTCAGATGCACAGTTTGCAAATATTTTCTCATATTCTGTGGGTTATCTGTTTACTCTGGTGACCGTTTCTTTTGCTGTGCACAAGTTCTTTAGTTTAATTAGGTCCCACTTGTCAATTTTTGTTTTTGTTGTAATTGCTTTTGGCATCTTCATCATGAAATCTTGGCCAGAATGTAATTGTCCTACTGTCCAGAATGGTAATTCTTAGGTTTTTCTTCAAGGGTTTTTATAAGTCTTAGACTGTACATTTAAGTCTTTAATCCATGTTGAGTTGATTTTTGTATATGGTGTAAGGAAGGGGTCTAGTTTCAGTCTTCTGCATATGGCTAACCAGTTTTCCCAGCACCATTTATTGAATATAGGGAGTCCTTTCTCCATTGCCTGTTTTTGTTGACTTTGTTGAAGATCAGATTGTTGTAAGTGTGCATTATTTTCTGAGTTTTCTATTCTGTTCCATTGGTTTGTGTGCCTGTTTTACTTATTTATTTATTTATGAGATAGTCTTGCTCTATCACCCAAGCTGGAGTGCAGTGGCGTAATCTCAGCTCACTGCAACTTCTGCCTCCCAGGCTCAAGGGATCCTTCACTTCAGCCTCCTGAGTAGCTAGGACAATAGGTATGTGCTATCATGCTTGGCTAATTTTCATATTTTTTGTGGAGATGGGGTTTTACCATGTTTCCCAGGCTGGTTTTGAATTCCTGGCCTCAAGTGATTTGCCTGCCTCTGCCTCCCAAAATGTTGGGATTACTGGCATGAGCCACCTCCTCCCCAGCCTATTCTGGGTATTAACCCCTTATCAGATATATGATTTATAAATATTTTCTCAATCTGTGGGCTGCCTTTTCACTCTTTCGATAGTGTCTTTTGATGTTCAAGTTTTTGATTTTGATGAAGTCTAATATATGTATCTTTTCTTTTGTTGTCCATGCTTTTGTTGCCATATCCAAATCAGCGCTAAATCCAATGCTGCGAAAGTTTTCCACTGTTTTCTTCTAAGAGTTTTATAATTTTAACTCATGTTCAAGTTGTTGATTCATTTTAGTTGATTTTCGGATATGGTGTAAGGTAAAGGTCCAACTTCATTTTCCATATGCTTTTGAAAATTGTTCTTTTAGGGCCTGGGCATGGTAGCTCATGCCTGTAATCCTAGCATTTTGGGAGGCCGAGGCGGATGGATCACGAGGTCAAGAGATCAAGACCATCCTGGCCAACATGGTGAAATCCCGTCTCTACTAAAAATACAAAAATTAGCTGGGCATGGTGGCGGATGCCTGTAGTCTCAGCTACTTGGGAGGCTGAGGCAGAAGAATCGCTTGAACCCGGGAGGCAGAGGTTGCAGCGAGCTGAGATCGTGCCACTGTACTCCAGCCTGGGCGACTAAGCGAGACTCCATCTCAAAACAAAAAACAAAAAACAAAAACAAACAACCCCCCCCCACAAAAAATTGTTCTTTTAGTAATTGCCCCCAAATTTACAACATGGATTCTTTGTTCTGATATCAACTGGCATATGTGTAGAAAAATAATTAATGTAGCAGTCCTGAGACTGCCATCCTTAGAAAGACCTGCTTGCAAGGTTGGCCCCTGGCTGGTATCTAGGAACTTGGGATTTTGGGGTGGGGGTTCCCACCATTTCCAGAAGTGATGAGTGCCTCATTATACTAAAACTGCTATACAAACAGTGTGGTTTATGCTGAATTGCTGCTCCCTGACAGCCTGGAGCTACAGTATGTGCTAGGCAGAGGGCAACTACATGACCAACCCCCAGTAAAATCCTTGGGCACTGAGTCTTCAATGAGTTTCCCTGGTAGACAACATTTTATAGGTGTCACAATTCATTGAAATTAAGCACATCTTGTGTGATTCCACTGGAAGAGGACTCTTGGAAGCTTGTTTCCTCCAGACTTCACCTTATGTACCTTTTCCCTTTGCTGATTTTGCTTCATATTTTGTTGCTGTAATAAATCATAGCCATGAACACATCTATGTCCTGAGTTACGTGAGTCCTCCTAGCATATAATGAAGCTTGGGTGGTCTTGAGTACCCCCAACACAGAGCATCTTACTCTCTTCCCAAACTGCAAGGTGTTTAGAATAGTAAGAATACTTAATCCCCTCTCAACTTATGTATTAGTATTATCATGTATTTTAATGACATTAGAACCTATAAAAATCATTATTTTTGTTTTCTACCGCCAATATTGATTGAGACCTACCACATATTTACTCTTCATTGATCTTCATTTCTCCTGTACCTCTGACCTTTCATTTAAAATCACTTTTTTCCCAGAGAACATTCTGGTATTTTCTTTTTTTTTTTTTTTTTTGAGACGGAGTCTCGCTCTGTCACCCAGGCTGGAGTGCAGTGGCCGGATCTCAGCTCACTGCAAGCTCCGCCTCCCGGGTTCACGCCATTCTCCTGCCTCAGCCTCCCGAGTAGCTGGGACTACAGGCGCCTGCCACCTCGCCCGGCTAAGTTTTTGTATTTTTAGTAGAGACAGGGTTTCACTGTGTTACCCAGGATGGTCTCGATCTCCTGACCTCGTGATCCGCCCGTCTCAGCCTCCCAAAGTGCTGGGATTACAGGCTTGAGCCACCGCGCCCGGCCTTGGTATTTTCTTTAGAGTAGGGCTTCTTCTAAAGTAACAAATTATCTTAGTTTTTAAAATTTGCATGATAATTAGTTATTTTACATTTATTTTTGAAGGCTCTTTTCCTGGGTCTAGAGCTTTGGGCTTGGATAATTATTTGGTGACTTCTGTTGAGTGGGAGTCAGCTGTGAATCTAACTGTTGCACTCTTAAGGTAAACTTTATCCCTCCAGCTGCTTTATAGTTCTTTTAGGCTTTAATTTTTCAAGCAGTTTTTCTCTGATGTACTCATGTCATGCTGAAGGCTGCAGTGGCTGTGGCAACTTCTTAAAATAAGACAACGATGAAGTTTGCTGCATCAACTGACTCTTTCATTCACAAAAGATTTCTCTGTAGCTTGAGATTCTGTATGATAGCATTTTACCCAGATTAGAACGTCTTTCAAAATTGGAGTCAATTTCCTTAAACTTTTTTTTTAAACACCGAATGGGTACTTAATCCCCTCAAACTTTGCCACTGCTTTATCACCTAAGTTTATGTACTATTCCAAATCCTTTGTTGTTATTTCAACAATGTTCACAGCATATTCACCAGTAGTAGACTGCATCTCAAGAAAGCATTTTCTGGGCTGGGCACAGTGGCTTACACCTGTAATCCCAGCACTTTCGGAGGCTGAGTGGGAGAATTGCTTGAGGCCAGAAGTTTGAGACCAGCCTGGGAAAAATAACAAGATCCCATTTCTACAAAAATAACAAATAATAAAAAAAGAAAGTACTTTCTTTGCTCATCCATAATAAGGAACTTCTCATCCATTCAAATTTTATCATGAGGTTGCAGCAATTCAGTCATATCTTCAGGCTCCACTTCTAATTTGAATTGTCTTGCTATGTCTACCACATCAGCATACTTCCTCCACTGAAGTCTTGAACCCCTTAAAGTCATCCATGAGTTGGATTCAGCTTTTTCTAAACTCTTGTGAATGTTGATATTTTTACCTCCTCTCATGAATAATACATATTCTTAATGGCATCTAGAATGGTGACTCCTTTCCATAAAGTTTTCAATTTACTTTGTCCAGATCCATTATGGAATCAGCTATGGCAGCTATAACCTTATGAAATGTATTTCTTAAATATTTAAGACTTGAGTCAAAATTACTCCTTGATCCATGGGCTGCAGAATGGATGTTGTGTTAGCAGGCATTAAAAAAAACCCATTAATTTCCTTCTACATCTCCATCAGAGTTCTTGGTGACTAAGTGCGTTGTCAATAAGCAATAATATTTTGAAAGAAATCTTTTTTTTTCTGAGTAGTAGGTCTCAATGGTGAGCTTAAAAGATTCAGTAAACCAGCCTGGGTAACATGGTAAGACCCCATCTCTAGAAAAAAAAAAAATTATCCTGGCATGGTGGTATGTGCCTGTAAACCCAGCTACTGAGGGAGGCTGAGTCAGGAGGACTGCTTGAGTCCAGGGGTTCAGTAAACTATGCTACAGGCTAGGCTCAGTGGGTCATGCCTGTAATCCCTAGCACTTTGGGAGGCTAATGTGGGAGAATTGCTTAAGGCCAGGAATATGAGACCAGCCTGGGCAACATAGGTGAGACCCTGTCTCTACAAAGAGTTTAATTTTTTTTTTTTTTTTGAGATGGAGTCTTGCTCTGTCACCAGGCTGGAGTGCAGTGGTGCGATCTCAGCTCACTGCAATCTCTGCCTCCCAGGTTCAAGTGATTCTCTTGCCTCAGCCTCCGGAGTAGCTGGGACTACAGGTGCCCGCCACCATGCCGAGCTAATTTTTGTATTTTTAGTAGAGACAGGATTTCACCATGTTGGCCAGGATGGTCTCGATCTCTTTTTTTTTTTTTTTTTTTTTTTGAGAGGGAGTCTGGCTCTGTCGCCCAGGCTGGAGTGCAGTGGCCGGATCTCAGCTCACTGCAAGCTCCGCCTCCCGGGTTTACGCCATTCTCCTGCCTCAGCCTCCCGAGTAGCTGGGACTACAGGCGCCCGCCACCTCGCCCGGCTAGTTTTTTTTTGTATTTTTTAGTAGAGATGGGGTTTCACCGTGTTAGCCAGGATGGTCTTGATCTCCTGACCTCGTGATCCGCCCGTCTCGGCCTCCCAAAGTGCTGGGATTACAGGCTTGAGCCACCGCGCCCGGCCTGGTCTCGATCTCTTGATCCGTCTGCCTCGGCCTCCCGAAGTGCTGGGATTACAGGTGTGAGCCACTGTGCTCGGCCGAAAGGTTGAAATTTAAAAAGAAAGTAGCAGGGCATGGTGGCGTGCACCTACTGTAGTTCTAGCACTTAGGAGACTGAGGCAGGAGGATCTTTTGAGTCCAGGAGTTTAGGGTTGCAGTGAGCTATGATTGTGTCACTGCACTCCAGCCTGGGTGACTGCAAGACCCTCTCTCTAAAAAAAGAACAAAACCCAAAAAACCTCCATGCTATAAACAGATGTGTTGTCATCCAGGCTTTGTTGTTCCATTCATAGAGTGGAGGCATAGTAGATTTAGTGTTAATTCCTAAGGGCCCTTAGATTTTCAGAATGGTAAATGAGCATCAGCTTGAACTTAAAGTCAACAGCTGCATTAGCCCCTAACAAGAAAGCCTGCCTGTCCTTTGAAACTAGGAATTGACTTTTCCTCTCAAGCTGTGAAACTCCCAGATGGCATCTACTTTCAGTAGATGGCTGTTGCTTCTACACTGAAAATCTGCTGTTTAGTGTGGCTACCATCATCAATTATCTAACCTAGATCTTCTGGGCATCTTGCTACAGCTTCTCCATCAGCATTTGCTGCTTCACATTGTACTTTTGTTACAAAGACGACTTCTTAGAATGATACATTGGACTTTGGGGACTGGAAGAAAGGGTGGGAGTGAGGTGAAGGATAGAAGACTACACGTTGGGTATAGTGTACACTGCTCAGGGCTTGGGTGATGGGTGCACCAAAATCTCAGGAAAAAAAAAAATAGATGGCTTATTTCTTTAAACCTCATGAACTAACCTAACCTTCTGTTAGCTTCACACTTTCCTTCCTCAGCTTCCTCTCCTCTCTCATCACCTTCAAATAATGGAAAAGAGGTCCTTGCTCTGATTAGGCTTTGGCTTAAGGCAACGTTGTGGCTGCTATGATCTTCTATATAGACTACTAAAATTTTCACCATATTGGCAATAAGGTTGTTTCACTTTGTTATCATTCTTGTGTCCACTGGAGTAGCATTTGTAATCTCCATCAAGAACTTTTCCTCATTGGCTTCCCAACAATGAACCACGTGGCTAACTGGTACAAAAGGCCTAGTTTTCAGCCTGTCTTGGCTTTTGACATGCCTTCCTCACTAAGCTTAATCATTTCTAGCTTTCGATTTAAAGTGAGCATGTGACTCTTTCTTTCACTGGAATACTAACAGGTCATTGTAGGGTTATCAGTTGGCCTAATTTCAGTATTGTGTCTCAAGGAATAGGGAGGACCAAAGAGAGGGAAAGAGATGGGGAAACAGCCAATGAATAGAGTGATCAGAACACACACATTTATAAAAGTTGCTGTTTTATATGGGTGCAGTTCAAAGTGCCCAAAAATAATTACAATACTAACCAAAGATCACTGATCACAATCACCATAACAGGCGTCATAAAAGAGTTTGAAATGTTGTATGAATTACCAAAATGTGACACAAAGTTGGTACACATTGTTGGAAAATGGCGCTGATAGACTTGCTTGATGCAGGGTTGCCACAAACCTTCGATATGTAAAAATTGCAGTATCTGCGACTACTGAGGGTAGATAATACAAGACAATGCAGCTTCCATCTTGCTCTCTCTCTCTTGCTTAGGGGAAGCCAGCTGCCATGATGCAAAGACAGTTGAAGAGCCTTATGGAAAGGCCTGTGTGGTGAGGAACTGAGGCCTCTTGCCAACAGACATGTGAATGAGCCTCCTGAGAAGCAGATCCTCTGGTCTCAGTGAAGCCTCTGAATGACTACAGTCCAGGCCAACATCTTGACTGCAACATGAAAAACCCTGAGCTAAAACCACCTGACTAAGTCACCCCTGAATCCTGATCTGCAAAATGTGAGTTTATGAGTGTTGTTTAAGCCAGTCAATTTTAGGGTAATTAGTTTTGCATTAGTAGTTAATTACAGTATGCTTGTTTTAAAACTTCATGTTATTTTGTGATTATATTATTATTTTAAATTTAATTTTTTTATGTAAAAATAAAATGAAATCAATAGCTTATAAATTTTAAGTAATATTCAAATATGAAAGAATATGGTTGCTTTACCTCTTTATTGTTTTTTGAATTCCTAACTGGAAGCAGAGTTTTTCAGAAGAGATGAAGTCATCTCCACGATAGTATTAATAGATAAGCCATTCAGAAAACCTTTATGTCTTATTCTCACTTCCTGAAGCGCATTTATAATATGGTCTCTATGCAAAAGGAAAACATACATGAGTATTTATTTGTCTTTTCCAAAGGAACACATTCTGAATATATCTAAGTTATTAACTTGAACTGTATTTTTACACAAAAGTTTTAAACCAGTTAAAATATAATTTTGGTTATTACCTGCTGACTTCTGGATGCAGTTCAGCCAGTTTCTTTATGATCTTGGTAAAGCTACGAAGGTTCAATGTATTTGGAGGTATGAATTGAACAGGTGTATCAGGTAATAATTTAGCAGATTCAATCTGCTTACAATTCTTCTTGACACCCTAAATAAGCATTTAAAAAGTTTTCTTAAAATCAGTAAGGACCATTACATAAAGACAATACAGCTTATTCAATAATAATATATTTGAAAATTAAAATAATAAAATAAAAACTCCTTAAAAGTTTACTTTAACTTGGGATTATTTGTATCAATTGCATTTACTTGGGCTATGTTTCAGGGCCATATACTACAAAACACACCCAACATTTTTTCTTTCTGATAAAGTATACGAGGTTATGTCTAAATAAGCCTTTCTCAACCAGATTTCTCATCTGAACCATAGAACACAGAAAATGATGTAACTACTTTCTCAATTCTCCCAAAGATAGGATATAACTAGTTTCATTTTAGATGCATAGGAGAGAGATTCATTCATTAAATAAACGTTTTAGGCTTAGGGCATTAAGGCTTAATTCTCTTAACCAACCTAAAAAAGGCTACACAGTAATTAGAGATATTTTACATCATATTTACTATATGCTGTATGTGATGAATACAAACTGTATGCCCAGAAGTGCAGTATATGCTGCGTGGGAAAAACTATAGTGATATAAAACAGAGCCCTCTCCATTTGCGAAGAGACAAAATTGAAATGACCAATTAGTTACTGTTAACAATGCAAGTAGGCTATAAATTGTAGAAAACCACTGTAAATACCATAAGAGTTCAACAAAGGAAGGATTCAGACTTTAAAGCCTCGATGAAGTCAGGGCAAGAGACATAATATACTGGACCTTTTACATCAGAACGTTATATCTTTCACTTGCTTGTTTATTGCCTCAACTCCCTCACTAGATTTAAGCTCCTTAAGAGCACAGATTTTTGTCTGTTTTGTTCATTGTTGCTTTCCCAGTGCCTAGAATAGTGTACACAGTTGGTATGTAATAACTATTTGTTTAATAAATAAAAAGTTTGGGATACAATAGTTTAAGTGACAGTTGAAGTAAGTGCTCTCCAAGAAAGAATATGCTCTCTAAGAAAGAAGTCAAATTATTGGTAAGTAATAACAACAACAGCTAATGTTTTCTGGGTACATCTACCAAGGTAGGCACTGTTCTAAAAATTTTTCTGTGGTAAGCTCATTTAAACTCATCAACATTTGTGAGGTAATGGCTCTTATCTCCATTTTACGATAAGGAAGCTCAGAAATGGAAAGGTTAGGTTACTTTTCCAGAGTCACATGGTGAGTAAGTGGCAGAGCCAGGTTATGAATCTAAGAGTGTTTATTAATCACTATGATTCTGCTTCTCATTGTAGATAATCAATATTTTCTAAATGAATGAATAGAATAAATAAATGTGGAGTATCAGAAAAAGAACAATGGAACAAGAAATTGCCAGAAAGGAAAGAGAACTTGGAGTATAGTTTAACAAAGATGGTTACAGGAACTTCCTGATCCACATACTCCTACCAATAGCCCGTATGGCCCTCTTTATAACATCCCTCTCCCAACCCCATGGCCCACTGCCACAGCTGACAGGATCAAGAGTGTTGCTGCCTGAGCTAATGAACATCAAAATCACAGCCTGGATCAATTCAATTTCCTGTCTAAAGCATGTGGAATTAGCAGGGTGTGGTGGCTCACGCCTGCAATCCCAGCACTTTGGGAGGCCAAGGTGGAAGGATCACTTGAGGACGGGAGTTTGGGACCAGCCTGGGCAACATAGCACGACCTGGTCTCTACAGAAAAATACAAAAATTAGCTGGACATGATGACACACCTGCAGTCCCAGCTACTTGGGAAGCTGAGGTGGGAGGATTGCTTGAGCCCAGGACTTTGAGGCTACAGTGAGCTGTGGTTGTGACACTGCACCCCAGCCTGGTGACAGAGTGAGACCCTGTCTCAGGAAAAAAAAAAAAAAAAAAAAAAAAGACTGAAATTAGAACATGAAGCAAATGAATTAATCAGATCACAGGGACTTGAATTGAACATATAGAGTTAGAATCAAGCAAAACAAAGCCAAATGGGGGAAGAAAGCAGTCATGAGCAGAGAAAAGCAGTGTGTAGAGAAAGGGGAATAAGGGGAATAAGCACACGGAGAGCAGAGGCAGGAGACCACATGTGCTACACAAGGAGGAAAGCGAGAGCCACAGATCCCACACCTACAGCTCAGGGCCCCACGCAGCTTCGCTGCACTTTGTTTCCTTCCTTCCTGCTGTAGATTGAGGCTATGTACCAAGTAAATCAATCCCACACATGAAGGGTCACTGAGATGAAAGGAAAAGTTTCAAGAAAGGGATGAACAGTGTCAAACAGGCAAAGTAGTCAAGAGGAAGGCAGATGAGGGAAAGACAAATAAAAGGTCACTAGTGCCTTATGAAAAGGGCCGTTTAGGTAAAATTTTAGAGACTGAAGTCAGATTATCAGGACAACAGAGAAGAAAAGAAACAGACATTGAATATAACCTACTTGATTGAGAACTTTGGCAATAAAAACATAGGACAGGCTGGGTGTGGTGGCTCAGGCCAGTAATCCCAGCATTTTGGGAGGCCGAGGCGAGCAGATGACTTGAGGTCAGGAATTCAAGATGAGCCTGGCCAACATGGTGAAACCAAATCTGTACTAAAAACACAAAAAAATTAGCCAGGCAAGGTAGTAGGTTTCTATAATCCCAGCTACTCAGGAGGCAGAGGAAGGAGAATTGCTTGAACCCAGGAGGCAGAGGTTGCAGTGAACTGAGATTGCGCCACTGCACTCCAGCCTGGGTGACAGAGTGAGACTCTGTCTCAAACAAATAAAACAAAACAAAACAAAAAAACAAAAACAAAAAACTCCCCAAAACAAAACAAAAAAAACCATAGGACAAATAAGGATGGTAAAGTTAGAGGAATGCAAAGTCAAGTGAAAATCCTGTCAGGATTAGGAAGGGCTGTGCCTGACTTTGAGTAGAGGCTAAGGTCTGTGAGTGGAAGTGGAGTTGCTAATGGTATAGAAAAGGAATGTGGTAACTCCAGGAATGAGGAAAGGACTGGATAAAGGACACAGTTAGAAGAGATCCCTTTCTCTTATTAAGGGAAAAAATTATATTCATTTATTCAACAAGTATTGATTCTTGTGCTGATCTATGGATTCAAAATAATCCCAGCAAAAATCCAAGTAGGATTTTTTTTTTTTTTTGTAGATAGGTGAATTATAAAAGTATACAGCAAGGCGAAGAGACTAAATAGCCACAATAATTCTGAAAAAGAATAAAGTTAGAGGACTCATTCTACCTGATTTCAAAACTTACTATGAGGCTACAGTAATGAAGGCAGTGTACTACGGGTGGAAAGAGACAAAACAGTTCAACAAAACAGTTCCAGTCTAGAAATAGACTCACACAAACATGGTCAACTGATTTTTGACCAAGGCGCAAAGGTAATTCAACAGAAATAGGATCATCTTTTCAACAAATGATGCTGGAACTATTCCATATGCAAAACAGAAACAAATGCAAATAAGCAATAACGACCTCAACAAATACTAGAAACAATATATAAAAATTAACTGAAAATCTCTGTGACCTTGGATTATGCTAAGATTTCTTAGCTACAACACTAAAAGCATACATTATAAATAAAAAAATTAATAAAGTATACTTCATAAATACTAAAATATCCCTATTCTGAGAAAGACACTGTTAACGGAATGAAAAGACAAGGCACAAAGTGAGAAAAATTATTTGCAAATCGCCTATCTGGTAAAGGACTCAAAATCAGAATATTAAAACACCAAAATTCAGTAATAAAATAAACTGAATAAAAATGGACACAACATGAGCAGGAATAAAATGCCAACATACACAACAACATGGATCAATCTCAAATGCATTCAGTGAAAGAAGCCAGGCTAACAGGGCTATATAGTATAATTTCATTTATATAATGTTCTGAAAAAGGTCAAGTTTTAAGAATAAGAAACAGATCAGAGCACCAGGTAATTTTTTGGAACGATGGAACTGTTCTGAATCTTGATTATGGTGGTGCTGATTTGCCTATATGCATTTGTCTAAAGCTACAGGCACCAAAAAGTATTGAATTTTACTGTATGTAAATTAAAAAAAAAAAAACATATGGAACACCTATGGGATTCCAGGCAATTTGCTGAGCAGTGGAGAGAAAAGACTGAACGAGGCAAACTTTACCACTTTTCACAGGGTGTTTACCTCAGTAACAGAGACATGAGAATATATGAAAATAAAATGACTACACTTTATGGTTTTAACAATTATGAGATAAGGTTAGCTGTGAAAGAAAAATCAAGATGAAATTATAATTAGTTACTTATAGAGTAGTAATAAAAAGACGGTGAAGGATTGGCAAAGAGCCTAGTTAAAATGAGTTTTTCGTTAGCTCGGTCTACAAAGATCTAGATTTCCCCCCAGGAACAACTGGAGTTGTACAAAACCAGGTTAGGGTGGATTCAAGGTTAAAAAAAAATCAGATTAATGCTGTCATTCCCATTTCAAGACTGCATATTGAAGTTATTTATTCTACAAAGCTACTTACAGCAATATGACATACAAAGACCATCTAAGGGATCTATCAAAAACACTAACCTGGTTGGAAGGGAAAACCTCACTGTCTTGCTCAGATCCCAGCTGCCGTGGTCTAGTTCTGGGCAATCTAGAAATGGAGAAGGCTGAGTGGATTTCTTTGTTGGTGCTTTTCTCTAAATTATTCGAACTAATTCTATTCCCATTTTTGGAGGAAAGTGGTGATGTATATTCTCCAAGAATTTTAACAGGCCGCACATTTACTGACTTTCCATTTATTTCTATCCCATTCATTTCTTTCACAGCTATCTTTGCATCGCTGTTTTTTGTAAAAGTAAGAGATGCATATCTAAAACATAAAAGCAGAAAACCAAAAGGTTGTTAATGACTTCAAATTACATCAAACTTAATTTTGTAACTACGGACGCAAATACATTTTTCACAAGAATAACTGCTTTTAAAAATAAAAAGGTTGCTGTACTTACCTTGGGATTAGGAAGAATATTTATTTAGGATAACTAAATAAAAACCAAGTTAAAGATGGGAAATGGAAGAAAAGTATTTCTTACACATTATCTCCTATTAATTTTATATTAAAATCTAATGTAAAATATGCGCAAAGCTAATATATGATAGAGTTGCCGAGATTAGTGGTCTGGGGACATCTGATTATCCATAACTAAAAAACCTTAAAACTAATCCCTATGTATAAACATAAACTTCAGATAACTTAAAGGCTTAAATGTGAGAGGCAAAATTTTAAATATTTAGCAGAATATGCAACAGTGTATCTTTATGACCTTGTAGTGGGGAAATACACAGACAAAAACAAAGAGTTGGAAAATCTAATCAGAATTTTAATCATATACACAAGAAAGTTGGGCAATAGCTATTCCTATAAAAGCATCAGCCTTAGACAGTGTCAATGGAAGGATATACACCAAATCCTGGGAAGAGTGGCTGTTTTCAAATGATGAGACTATGGATACATTTTTATAAACTCCTTGTATTTTTGCATTTAACTGTATTTTCTAAATTTCTACACAGAATGCAAAATACTTCAAGTAAGAAAAAAACCATAGTTCTTAAAAAGTATTCAACAAGATACTAAAAGAGTCTTTCACATGAAGTAATGCTCCTAAGATTACAATACTACTTTAATGAAATGTATTAACATCATATCAACAGGTCAAATAATTACAGCTAAACAATTATCTTACAATTATATGACTTCATTTAAGACACACATTTTTAATAAATTGCAACCCCAACTACAAATAGGATCCTTTCTTAATTGATAAAAATTTTATATCTGAAATAAACAGCTATCACTTTTAATGATAAAACAGTAAAAAAAATTCCATTAAGCTATGGCCATTGTTATTTAATACTTTTGAATCATCTGGCAATGTCACAAAACAGAAAGTAGCAACATACATACTCAAAGTAACTATATGTAAATGAGGTAGCTGTCTACCTAAAATATATTGAGTGTCAACTAAAAAGTAATTGAAATCAGAAATAGTAAAATGAAACACAATTTTCTGAGCACCTACTATGTGCCAGGCTTTATTCCTAGTGTTTCACATATTTTACTTGTAATAGTTTCACAGCAATGTTGTGAAGGTAGTATTATTATGCTCACTTTATATACAAAGAGGCTGAGGTACAGAAAGGTTAAGTAACTTGCCTAAATTTATTAACCAAGTTGTTGACAGAGCTGGGAATTGAACCAATGTTATCTATTTCTGGAAGCCGTTCTTTTACCTAATGCGCTCTACTTCCCTAAGTAATGGCATGTAGCAAGATAAAGTATACAAAAATCAATAACCCTCCTGTATACCATTAACAAGTTACAAAGTATAATGAAAAAAAAGATCTGGTTAAGAACAGTATCAACTCAAGACTGCAGCTATTTGTCCATGTGTCCCCTTTCCTGGCCTGTGAAACCCTGTGAGAATAGCCCTTGACTTTGTCACCACTGTGGCTGATATCTGGTATAGAACCTTTGGCAAACAGCAGACACATAATAATGCACATTGATTAAAGTTGGGAAACACACCTGTAATTAGTAGAAGAATCATAAATTGAAATTTCAGAAACTTGGTATTTTTGGAAATGAGACCTTAAATCGGCCTAAAAGAAGAGAAATAAAAGTTTGTGAAGGGTAGAAAAGTACAACAAAATATGAACAACTAATAAATTTGAAAATGAAGCTCAAAAAAATAATCCTGGTATACCTCAGATACTGAAGGGCAGAGGCCACCAACATGTATCAAATAACCTTTATCTCTTTGTGAGGGTTCAACATTCTTCATTTCTGCTTAGAGAAAAACATGTAACAGAAATGATCCTTATTGTACTGATATGTTTCAGAGAAAATGTGAACGCTGTTACATATTTTATGCTTCCTTTTTACTAACCCAAAGTTTATTATAAAGTTATCAGCAACTATCAGCACTTCTAGACTGAGGACTAATAGCCTGCCGTATAGTTTTAAGATTTCTGGGCCTTAATCACATCATCTTAAAAACTAAAGAGGTTGGGTTAGTTAAGTCTCTTGTAGCTCAAAAATGGACAAATTACATCTAAACAAAGTAATCAATTACTGTAATTGTTGTTCCTCAGTATCCCTGGGGGACTGGTTCTCAGACACCCCAAGGATGCTCAAGTCCCTTATGTAGAATGGTATAGTATTTGCACATAACCTACACATATCCTTCCGTATACTTTAAATCATCTCTAGATTAGTTATAATAACTAATAAAATGTAAATACTATGTAAATATTTGTTATACTGTATTGTTTAGGTAATGAGACTCCTACAAAGTCTGTACATGTTTCATACAGGCTTTTAAAAAATATTCTCAATCTGCAGTTGTCTTTCATTTGTCTTTGGTTCAGAGAAGTGCTATCTAGAACATTGGACACACACAGGATTTTAACTCCCTAGTGTTAATGCTGGCTAGAGCTAGTGGTCTGAGAGCTCTCATTATGCAAATTCCCTTGCTGGGGAAACATCACGCCAAGAAAACCTTTTAACTGGACAAGGATCAATAGCAGGTATTATAATATATAGCTTGTAATAATGGTAAGGGCACACAAGAAAAAAAGCGGGGAGACAACTTGAGTTAGAAAGCATGATTTTCCAAACTACAAATACTAGGATTAGGGATAAATTTTTTTCTTGATAAAAAATTTCAAAATTCTTAGAGTACATTTTCATAGTCTCTATTGTGAAGAGAACTTGAAACCAAAAAGGATCCACTGAATAGAGATTCAAATTACTAGCAAATACCATACCTGGCACATAGGGAGAACACAAATATTTGCTGAATGAATCCTTAAAGTAGCTTTTATTTATATGCTTTATAATTTTTATATAGTAATAGGCGATATGGAAATTTTATTTTTTTCATTAAATAATAATATATAAGAGTAGCCTAACACTTATCCAGTGTTTCTGGTGCTCCAGGCAATATGGCAAGCACTTTATACACATCATCTCATGTAATTCTCACAACCACGCCACAAGGTAGCTATTATTATTTTCATTTTGCAGATAAGGAGGCTGAGGTCTCAGGAGTTTAGGTCACAAGTATAGTAAATGGTGGTGCTGGAATCCAGGCACAGTTTGTCATCGTTAGATAATAATACCCAACCTTCATTAACTTATTTCATTTGTTAACCTCTTTGAATCATGATGTATTCTATAGAGAAAATAGCAAAACCACCTACCTTTATATTTTTACATTGGAGTGAGGAGGGAATAATGAGCTACAGTATAGTAAAAAAGGGTAAATAAGAATCAGAAGACATACATTATACCCATCACCTCACCTTTCACTACTTCAACACAAAATAGCTTATGAACATCCAATGGGCTGCATGCCGTACCTGGCACTGGAGATAGGGAGTAAACAAAACATATAAAAATCCCTGAGCTCACTGAGCTAATGAGAGGATGAGAAGGCAGTCAATATATCAGGTAAGCAAACCATACAGTGTTGTGATAAGTGACATGAAGAAAACTAATGCAAGGGAAGAAAAAACAGAATAAAACTAGATGATATGGGGCTGGGTGCAGTGGCTCACGCCTGTAATCTCAGCACTTCAGGAGGCTGAGGCGGGTGGATCACTTGAGGTCAGGAGTTCAAGATCAGCCTGGCCAACTTGGTGAAACCCTGTTGCTACTAAAAATACAAAAATTAGCCAGGTGTGGTGGTGGGCACCTGTAAGCTGAGGCAGGAGAATCACTTGAACCCGGGAGGTGAAGGGTTGCAGTGAGCCAAGATAGTGCCACTGCACTCCAGTCTGGGGTGACAGAGACTCTGTTTCAAAAAACAAATGACAACAACAAAACCCCAAAAATAGATGATATAATGCTATTTACTTTAAATTGCATGTGTGTATTAAATATATACATAAGAAAATGCATAAAAATAGTCATTAAAATATTCATAGTGGTTATTGCAGGTTGGAGAAACCAGTTAATTTTAATTTTCCTATATTTTAAAATGTTATTTAAAAAACCATAATAAGCATTATTTAGACAAGCAGGGAAAAAACAATAAAACCAATGCTGATATGGAAAACAAAAGAAAAATCCATAGAAGATACAAAAAAAAATAAGGAAAGGTAGCATAAACTTACCTAGAAATGATAGAAGGGCAATAATCACAGGTACTAGAGAAAACTATAACTATTCTAAGCAATTAAGGACTATCTAAAAATGAAAACATCCCTAAAATTATTGAAATAAGAGAAAGCAAATAGTTTTCATCATTAACACCAATTTGATAGATTAGTACTGGTTGCCTGGTGGTAACTGGGAAGCTGGTTTTATTCACCATGTACCCACGCCTGGAAAGAGGAAAATGATGCCCTGCAGGAGTGCTGATGTTGGCCTTGAGCAAGAGAAAGAATGCGGGTATCTACCTGTTAACTAAATCTTGGATTTAAGCTTTTAGCAGTTTTTTTTCCTCTTTAAAAAACTGACCTCCAACTGAACAATTTCTTCATTTTTTTATTTATAAAGAAAAGCCAAAACAGGAATAAAATATTAAAACAACTCAGTTGCCCATCACAACACAGAAGCAGGTAAGCACTATTTTACAAATAATCTAGGTTAGGATTTCTCAGTAAATTCTTGAGAACCAACCTAGTGTAAGATCCAAATTCCATCTGTCTTGTTCTATTTGATTTTCTTGTGTTCCTGAGATGTCAACTCCTGTCAAGTTCTCTTTAGCATCAGACCAGTCTTCACTCATCTCTTGGTAATGTCTGCAGTCTAAGACATTAAACACAATGAGCTATGAATGACATATAATGTCCAACACACTGAAAAGTTATCTAAAAACCATGGATGAATCAGCATGATGATGACTACTAGAGTTTTAGGTATAAATCTAAAGATAAATATTAGCAAAATAAGAGAACCAAGCACAAAGATTCTCTGAGAAGAGATTTTCAGTAGCCCTTGAATAAAAAGTTGCTTTCAGTCTGAGTGATCTGTTTCCTAGTTTTCCTTTAATTAAAACACTATTCCCAGCTTATTGAAACCCTTAATTTTCAGCATTTTGAATTGTCCTTTAGTGAAAAAGACATATTATCTTTATATATGCAATAACATGAAACATCTTTGAAAGAATTAAGCTGCGTTGCAGCTCTTTATTTCATTACAATTAAATTAATAATCTTTTGGAATGATCACAATCTCTTTTCGTGTGCTAAAAATGCACACAATTTAGAGATACAAATTAGATATAACAGAGAATTTTCATACTAAAAACATGAACCAAAAGAATAAGAGTCCATATAATTATTTAGCATTGTCAGCTATATTAGGCAACCTTAAAGATGTCAAATAGCAATAAGAACATATTTGACATTTATAATCAGAATGATGCCTTTCTGTCAATTAAGAATATTTATTTTTCTTTAATGAATAAACACTACCAATACTTTAAACCTTATTTTGTTTTCCAGCAACTATACAAGATAACACATTTTTATACTAACCTTTATCATCAAGTTTCAGTTGACTAAAGCCTGCATTTATATCACCATTTTTAAAGTCATCTTTTTTGGGTGATATGTTTTGTGTAGCACGACTATTGTCAGATGATAAAGACATCTGAGGATTAAGATAACAAAAACAACAATAAATAAGAGCAAATAATTATTATGCTCTTACTATGTGACAGGTACTCTTCACTGGCATTATTCAGCCCTTACAGTAATGAGGGCTATGAAAGCAAAACATTATCAACTTGACCTGACATGTGAGAAAACAGAATCTAAGTAACTTGTTGCTTCATGTTACACAGTTAACAAGAATTACAATTTGAATCCAGTCTGTGTATAATGACTGTGCTAACACTACTATCTGGCAAAGTGTGGCATATACACGAGAAGTAATCGAGATAATTTTTGGAGGTATATATATATACACACAAGTATTTATCACATTAACCTTTAACAGTTATATATTTAATTTAGTGTATGCTTACGTGTATCTTTTATTTATAAGTAGTAGTATTTCTTTCCTATATGTAATAGTTATTATTTACATTTAAATTTATGTAAAAAGGAGAATCATTTAAAGACAAAGTAATATTATAGGTAATACAGGGCTATGGTAAATTGTGAAGATGGTACATGAGTAGCTGAAATTTAGAAACACAGTATACTGAGTTTCATGCATTACCAGTTAATTTAATGAGACAGGAATTAAAACATAATCCCAACTTAAAATAAATATTGTTTTGTAGCTAAAACCAAGATTATAAAGAACGGCATCTTCATCTTGTTCTTTAAAAAATAATTTATTGTTCCCTCTAAATAAACAGGTTATACCATTCCTACCATTAAATACATAAAAATCTAGTTTTTGACCTGTTAATTCTTTGTGGATAACTGAGATTTTTTAAAAAAAGAATTTAACAACGGAATAGACAATTTTAAAGTAATTTAATTTTACTCAATCAAGTATTTGACTTTTAACTTTGGAATTCATCTTGGGGGATTAATATTACTCAAATAAAGAAAATCTCAAGAGTTAAAACCAAAGTCAGAAAAGCAGACTAAACCCCAGCCTTCCTATTCCATTGCCTCCTTGCTCAATAATGGAATATAACCAATGTTTCCGTAACACTTTGTAATTTTCAGAGTGTTCTTACACAGATTAAATATTCCTTCTCGGTTGTCATCTGACAAACATTTTCTTGGGGGAACGAGAGAATAAGAAAACCTATGACAGGCATTTAAAAATGATTTTCATCATTTCAGTAAAGAAGAAATTATAACTTTACCCTGTCTAAAATGACTGAATTATTACTTTATGTCATGAGATGAAGGTACAAAATGTTAGTTTTAATTGAACTGGCTTAACATGATTATGGCACTAAATTATAGTTTGCCCAGGACAGTCCAGGTTTATACTGACTGTCGTAGAGAATTACCATTACGCTCTTTCAACCGCAAAAGTCTCCTGGCGTGGTGTAAATTATATGGTCACCCTACTCAATATATACGGTTGACATCTGTTTGATCAGGATTTGACATAAATATATCATTATAATCAGTTATATCCATCAAATAGTAGTACACAAAGTAAGCCAGCTGAGTGAAAAGAAGGATGTCAGGGTTTCTGAAAATTATGGTTTACTTTACTTAAACCATACAATTAAAGGTTTACATTGATGAACTTTCAAGGACCCTTACTTGAGAGATTGTCTTTTTTAGGTTCGAAGAAACATCAAAATCTTGAGTCCTCTGATCATCTCGTTCAGCATCTGCTTCTGAAAAGCTAAAAGGAACACTTCAGAAGAAAAACGATCTAATGTTTGACAGCAGAGTAAGGTGACTATAGTTAACTACAATGTATATTTCAAAGTAGCTAAAAGAGAGGACTTGAAATGTTCCTAACACATAGAAATGACAAATACACAAGGTGATGGATATCCTGAATATCGACTTGATTAGTACACATCCTATGCATGTAACAAAATATTACATGTACCCCATAAATTTGTACAATATTAAATATCAAGAAAAAAGATAAACACTTCAATAAAACATTTATCAATGTTCTAAATAGGGAACAAAACAGAAAGTTTAAAGTTAACTGAATTAAGCAAGTTTTAGGATCTAATGAATTATAAATCAGATGAAACCATAACTCACACATGTGTTTCTTTTCTCATTAGCTGGAAAGAGAAAAGGAAAAAAATCTTTGTTTAAAATGTTTTGTCTAAATGAAGTAAAATTTTTAATTTCTAAAACATATATACATACCCTGGAAGCAAAAGTAGAGAAGGTAGATAATAATTTTGATTCTACTGACAGTGGGGGCAGCTCTTCCAGTGGTATGCCTTTGTGTATTTTTTCTTTCAAAGTCACATATCTAACTTTTAAGTCCCCCAAAAGAGACAGTAGTGCTGATCCCACTTCCTTCTTAGCAGAATTACTTGATAAATTCCTGTTCAAAAGTTGAGTGCACAAAACTAAATTATTTAGGCCCAAGTCATCCATTTAACACTAATATTATATTATACACTTGGTTCTTGAACTTCTGGGCTCAAGCAATCCTCCTGTCTCCGCCTCACAAGTTGCTAGGACTACATGTATGCCACAATGCCCAGCTAGTTTGTAAAACAATGTATTGTAGGGATGGGCGGGGGGGGGGTCTCATTATGTTGCCCACATTGGTCTTGAACTCTTGGTCTTAAGTGATTCTCCTGCCTCAGCCTCCCAAAGTGCTGGGATTACAGGCACAAGCCACCTTGCTCAACCCCACTTGGTTCTAATTTTACTAGAACTCTAAATATTTTCTTTTAAATGTTGAGTAAAAGAAAAAAATGAACCACAGTAAATGTGTTTTTCTAAGGGCAGTACAAACAACTGTCAACACATAAGCCAGAGAAAGTGTGGTAGCATGTCATGCAAAACCCTCTAACTTCATCCTTACTTGAACTTTATAAAGAAACAACAAATCTATGTTTTCACTGGATTTGTCATGCCAACCATGCCTGTGGCCCCTCCATGAAACTCAAGGATTCTATTACCCTTAGGCTAACTAACAAACCCAGTAACAATCTACTCCTTACTTTACTCTTCAAAAATGAAAATTAAAGAAACTGTCTAGAATAAACTTAAAGCTAGTGACAAATTCCTAAGAAAAAAACAGATTTAAAATTAATAAACACATATTTAATCCTTCCCTATTTTCCATTACAAGTTTGTAAATATCACAACAATGGCGACGACACATCTGATAGTGAACATTTAAAAGGTGCAGCTCTGCTTTTATGGCTCTCTGCATTATTTTCTGACAGCACATTGATGGCAAATCCTTCTCCGTATCTTTAAAAAGTTGAACTTCCCTTTAAAAATAAAAGATAGGATCAGGTAAGATTCCAAACATTTTTCGATAGTAATAACATGCCTCCAGAAACAGATTTTAAATTTTTTATATTTCCCTGTCAAGTTTAAATCAATTTATACTGAGGTTGAAGAGGCTGTAGGAATATGTAACAACTTCAGAAAACAATAAGTTAAAGCTTAATATATTCATTCTAGAAGTCCAGGAAGTAAACAATTCTCAGATTCATACTTTCAATACCAAAAAAGGAAGTATGAATTTGAGAATTGTTTATTCTGGAGAATTGCTCATTCTGGATAAAGTCATTTTGGTAATGACCTTATTTATACAGAACCAATGGATTTTTTTCAACCTAAATCAAACTTTGGCCAAGATTTTTTAAAGTTATAAGCATTTTTGATGAAACTTATTCTTAAAACATATTATCTTTTTAATAGAAAATAATTTACATATTTCTTAATAATTAAGGATCATTAACATAAGTAAATATTTTGCAGTACTATTATATCAAAAAGCCCCAAGTCACTGTTTTTTTGAGTATTAGTAGTTTTCGGAGGTCTTCTCTTATTACTAATTACCACTTCTAGCTATTCTCAATAGTTTTGCTTCTAGAAACCAATTATTCTATTTAATTTTATAGAACTGAAACACCAGATTAAACATTAGAAGAATGAGTAACAAGTGAAGGAAAAAGTAAATGACCTCAGAGTATGATAACTAATTTGGCTTATCTTAGACTTTCCCTGTTTCTCTCCCTCCCACTTCCTGGTTCTCCACTGTGTTCTGAATTACAAGAGTATCTAATAAATGCAAAGCAAATTACGCAATGAGTTAAAATCAAGATTAAAATGCTCCTGTGAAAGTAGTTATTTACTTCTCCAAATAAATGACATATTCCAAAGGTGCCAGTTTGTTTTGGTCTACAGGCGAATAAAATGAAAGGAAATGGAAAATTAAATCAGTATGGATTTGGGTTGAACAAGTAAAGATTAGATGCCACAAGTTTCTGAAGAAATTGAGACTGAAATCTCAGTAAGCAAAGAGCTTTAATATTCTATATTGTTTTAATATTTATTTGAAGGCAAACGGTTGAAACAGATGATTTCTTGAAGTCCATTTTAGCTATTATTCTATATGGGTAAGCATGCTATACAGAAAGCAAATACTATTTTGATTTTTTCTTCCAGATGTATCTGTAAGCATATATATATGATGTACCTCTCAGGATGTTTCTTTAGGTCTGTGATACCACATGGTTTTCTTAATTCCAGGAAATCCTGAAAATATGATTTAAAATTAAATTAAAAAAAACATATGTTACATCTGAAATTCCAAACTAGTAAAATGTATAATTCAATTTCTAATGGATTTTGTGGGAGAAGCTGCCATGAGAGGAGGATAGAACTGGTGGTAATTTACAAACCTTTCCCCTCATCTAGCATTTTCTCACAAAAGCCCTAATTCAACAAACCAAAAACATTTACGTTAGCATACACTGTCTCTTTATAAAGTCTAAATTTTAATATTACTCATATTGATTTTACCTTATTTAGAAAATTTCCATTAGGTTTTAAACTGTCAACTGAGGGAGATTTTCCTGATCCTTTTGTCATAGCCATCTGTGTATCTATACAATCTTCACTGTATGACCAATCTGTACTACAAGCCACACTTTTTTGTTTCTCATTTTGCCATTCATCAGGTCGTTTTTTATTCATCATTGTTATATCTGTGTTGCTTGATGTAGATACTACAGAAGGTCTTGCACTTGTTGCTCTGCTGGTTGTGAAACAAGCCCTAAAATCAGTGCTAACATCCACTGTCTGATTAATTGTGACTGTACAACTTGCTGCATCTGTCATTGAGTTAGTACATGTTCCTTCCGTATTGTGAAAGCATGTTTTCTTTGTGGTACTGCTATGAGCAACTTTTAGGCAAGTATTATCTTCTATTGCCTGATTATCTCTCACTGCAATCTTCGGTAGCATAGCAGAAAAATCTAAGGCTGAGTCAGGGGTGTTTTGTAGGCTTTCATAATGTGAACATCCACAGGCAGAAATTATTGAATCATCAAAAACAGAGGTCCAGGAAGTTTGACAATCTTTACAGGGTTGGGGTAATGTCTCTAAAGCTTTATCCTGTGGTAATGTGCTAGGATTTTCAAGGTGCAGTAATATTTTGTTCTCAGCAATTTTATTTCCACAAAAATCTTTACTTTCATTTATTTGAGATTTCATGTGTTCAGTATAAGTTTTCGTTTTTAATACTTTTTGAGGGCTCAAGGAACCACTCTTAGATTGAGATTCCTGGTTTCCTGGAGAATTGCTTCTTAGTACACTGCCATCAAATACAGTGTGGTATACTGAACTTGTCTCTTTTTCCTTACACTTTTCATGCTTTAGGTCATGATATTCTCTTAACATAACAGAATTCTGAAATTTGGAGACATGAAGTGACTCTTCTTGTCCATAAACATCAAATGAATCTGAAGAGATGACAGAACCACTTCCCGAGTTAACATGATTATCTTCTACATTGCTAGCACATTTAACTTCATAACCCAAATTTCCTAATTCAACAACTTCTGGATTAGATATACCTAATGTTTTTGTTTGGTCAAAAGATAAGTGGTTACTTATGTATTCTTGTTCTTCAGCACTGTGATATTCCTGCTGTGAGTCTTCATCTGTATCATGCTTTTGTGTATCTTCAGCACTTTCTCTATAATTAGCATCTGAAATATTGTAGATTCTTTCCAAGTCAACAGTCTTATCTTGATGTTCCAAAATATCAAAAAACACCTCCTCTTTTTTCTGCACTCCAAGATCTAACTCTGAACTTAAAGAAATAAGACTTTCCTTCTTTAGTTTTGACTCTGGGTAATGTATAGAATATGTTTCATTCAAGAAAGCATAGTCAGTACTGTCTTCAAGTTCACTTGACTGAAAATGAGTACTCTCTGTGTTAGTATCTTGACTCACTGAAAAAAATGGCTCTAATAAATCCATCTTGTCAATATTGTTGATTTCTTTATTATTAGCTCTTTGCTCTAGTGTTGAAGAATCCCAGTCATCATCAGGAAAAGTCAATTTGACTTCATCACAACCATTGGAGGATAATAACAAATTTTCTTTCTTTGGATTTGAAGGTTTATCTGATTAAAAAAAGGATAAAAACATTAACAGCAACATTATAGAATCGAAACACTAGAAAAACCTTAGACATGATCTGGTTTAAGCTCTTCCCAATGCAGAATTACTTTTTACATCTTCCATGACAAATATCCCTTTTAGTAGCAGCTAAAAACTGAACCATTTCCTCCCAAACGCATATGTTGAAGGCCAGACCCATGTGTTGGAAATGGGGACTTTGAGAGGTCATTAGGTTTAGATGTGGTCATGAGGGCAAGACCCTAATTATAGGATTAGTGTCCTTTCAAGAAGAGACCAAAAGAGCTTGCTTCCCCCTTCTCTCATGTGAGGACACAGCAAGAAGGCAGCCATCTACAAGCTAGGCAGACACCCCTCACCAGAACCTGACCATGCTGGCACCTTGATCTCAGACTTCCAGCCTCCAGAACTAAGAGAAAATAAGTGCCTGTTGTTTAACCCACTCACTGTATGGTATTTTGTTATGGCAGCCTGATCTAAGACAACAGCTAAGATTTTCTTGAATTCTTTCCATGGCAAGGAATTTACTGTTTATAGGGCAGCCACTGTTTGTAAAATGGTCTAATAAGAAACTTTTTTTCTTATAAATTTATTTAATAAATCTTTGGATGCTTCCTAGTGCTAGCCCTAGGCACTGTAAAAACAAAGGAAAAGAAGACACAGATGCTGTCCCCAAGTGCTTATGGTTTTCATAAGGTCATAAGATAAGCATACAAAAATGTAATTTTAAAACAGTGCTGACAGAGTTGTGTTGATGGAGCAGGTAAATTTTTGAAAAAAAGAGAAGCAGACTTCAGAAAAATTTTATATTTCAAACGTGTTTTGAAACAAAATAGACAAAATTATTTTAGGTAAATCCAACACAAGTACAATCAGCTGTGTGAAAGAACATGGCATTTTCAGGAAATTGTAAGACAGCTTGTCTGTAGTAAAAGAACTCTTATGAGTGTGACAGGAATTATGAACTGAAAAAGGCCTTTTATGATGTGCTAAGAAGTTTGGCTCTTATTCTAAGACAACAAAAGACCACTGAAAACTCATTAAAGGGTAGTAATGTGACTGGAATTAAGTTGTGGTCATTCCTGGCAACAGAAAGACTAAAAACTTGAAAGAGGAGAATAAAGGCAGGTACCAAAAGTGTACAGAAGTGGAACTAAAGAAGAGACTGGCACGAAAGTTCCACAACTGACATGTCTTGGTGGCCAATTAGAGATGACAGTAACAGGAAGAGAGAGCGAGCAGTGGTTTTCAAAAGATTTTTTTTTGACTAAGACCATAATCGGAATTACATTTTATATCATGACCCAGTACACACATACATATATGTATGTGTATTAAGTAAAACAAAAGTTTTACCCATGTCCAGTGTATTCTGGTATTTTCTATTTTATTCTATTCCATTTCTTTTAAAAAAAAGTTGATCACAATCAGCTAAACTGATGTTATGACTTACCAATTGGCCAATAAATACCTACTTAAATAGCACTCAAAGATAATGCTTACATGTTTACAACTTGGTACTATAGCTGAATGGGAATATTCAGGGCCAAAGAGATAGGGACTGCATGAAGTGCAGGTTTAGAAGGTAGAGAGGAAAAATGAGGAGGATGATAAGGATAATGAATTCAATTCTGGTCAAGTAGAGACCCAGATGTGAATTGTCTGTCCAGTAAGCTGTTATAAATACGTGGTTGGAGATGACAGAGTTGTTTAGAAGTCTTCTATACATTCTAGATACTAATTCCTTGGTTTTTTTTTTTTTTTACATTTGTAACATAACTGAATTTTCCTAGCTTATTGCTTATCTTTTATTTTATTTTATTTTTTATTTATTTTTATTTTTGTTGAGACAGAGTCTCGCTTTGTCACCCAGGCTGGAGTGCAGTGGCCAGATCTCAGCTCACTGCAAGCTCCGCCTCCCGGGTTTGCGCCATTCTCCTGCCTCAGCCTCCCGAGTAGCTGGGACTACAGGCGCCCGCCACCGCGCCCGGCTAGTTTTTTGTATTTTTTTTTTTAGTAGAGACGGGGTTTCACCGTATTAGCCAGGATGGTCTCGATCTCCTAACCTCGTGATCCGCCCGTCTCGGCCTCCCAAAGTGCTGGGATTACAGGCTTGAGCCACTGCGCCCGGCCGCTTATCTTTTATTTTTTAAAAATTATTTTAAGAGACAGAGTCTTGCCGTGTTGCCTGGGTGCTAGACTTGCATCAAACAATCTTCCTGCCTCAGCCACCCAAGTAGCTTGCCTGGCTTTAACTTTTTATAGTATCTTGTCATATCAGAATTTTCCAGGTTATTTAGTTAAATGAATCAGTCTTCTGTAACTTCTGGGTTTTGTGTCTTTGGTCTTCTCTACCAAGTAATAATAAAAATATTCTCCCATAATTTAATCTAATTGTGTGTGTGTGGGTGGGGTGGAGATTAACACTTAGTCTTTTTACACTACACAGAGTATTATTTTTCTCTTTAGCATAAGGTAGGACTCTAACTTAACTTTCTTCCAAAATGAATGGTCAATTTGTCCTAATACCATTTGCCAAATAATCCACTGTTTTCCTTCTGAGCTGAAACAACACCTTTATCATATTCTGAAGTCTTCCTGTTTCTGTTTCATGATTTTCTAAGAATTTGTTTCTATTTATTCCATTCCATTAACCTATTATCTTTTTGTATGACTGTATTACTGTTTTAATTATTATAGTATCACAGGTTATTTTTATATCTGGTAAGTTTTTTCCTGTATTTTAAAATTTATTTTGCATTCTCTCCAACAGATTTTTTAAAGTTTATTTTTTGGGGACCATTTTGAATTGCATAAAATATCCTATTGGGATTTACTGAGATAGAGAACCATTATCATGTCCAATCTCCAGCAGCCTTTCCCTAGATTTCCAACATTTAATGTATGAATACAAAGTATACTGTTTATTCCATTAGGGTTCATGACTGACATCTTCATTGTATAACTTTATCATTTTAAAATGACCCTCTTAATCCTTTCTGCATTGATTATGCTCTTTATTACTATCACCCCAAATTTTTAAGTTAATTTGTTTAACTTATTCGTTTTATCCTAAACTTTTCTTTTGTTTTAAATATGTCTCATGAACAACGTAGAGTTTTTGTTTTAATCTAGAATATATATATCTTAATAGTTTAAGCTACATATAGTCATAAGCACATAAAGTTTAGTCATCTTGCTTTTTAGACTCTTGCCGTTTCTTATTTTCTTTCTGCCGTGACCCAAGAAAAATACATTTCAGATTTATGGGAAGAAGAAAATATACACAACTTGGGCAGTAGAAGTCAACCTGCGCACTTTCTGCTTATCACCCTGAAGGCAACTATACCTGTCAGCAGTTCCTGAAAGGCTGGCTGGACAGAAATCCTTTCTTCCTGCTCACTTTCCCTTTCCTAAAGATAGGTCCTGCCTAGACTGCCCTGATCCACCAAAAATCACCTGAGTCAATTTGGCAAGTTAAAAACATACTGAGGTCTTACCACCTTAGAGGGAGGAAGAGTTAGAAAGCAGCAACCTGAAGGGCAAACTGTCTGGCACAACACATTTAACACCCTTCCCCACCAAGAATAAGGGTAAGTGGCCTAGACCCTTACCTTTTTGGAGGTTGCCTCCATTACTGTGGTAGCCTTTACCAGATGCTGTCTCCACCACTGCAGTGGCCTGCATCACTCAAAGATATATAATCTAGAAAAGGTATAAATATTGAACTATTATTATATTTAAAAAGCATAAATTGACAACTACATGAAGGACAGAAAAGATATGTTCTTTTAAAATTTCCAAGGAACATTTTTAAAAAAACCAATGTGTTAGGTCACTAAAAGAAGTTTAAATATAAAAAATAGAGTCTTAAAGACCAAAACATCACCCCATTTATGTCAAACCTAGATAAAAAGTTTCCAAGACAATTGGTACACTTACTAAAAACCAATGACGTGGCAAATCCATACAATGGAAAATCTTTCAGCAACAGAAAGAAATAAACTATTGATAGATGTTACCTTATGGGTTAATATCAAAAACATGCTGCATGAAAGAAACTAGATAAAAGAGATCACCTATTGTGTGATTCCATTTAAGTAAAACATCCACAGAAAGCAAATGTGTATAGAGAAAGTATACTAGTAGCTGCCTGGGATAGGCAGCTAGACGGGAAGAGAGATTAGCTATAAATGGGCATGGGGGATAAAAATGTTCTAAGATGGGTTTATGATGGGATGGTTGCAACACTTGATAAGGCTATTAAAAATCACTGAAATGAGTAAAATATAACTCAACAAAACTGTTTTAAAAAGGTAATAATGATGATTTTTTATTGATACATATTAGATGTATATATTTTGGGGGTACATGCGAAAATGACTCTGAACCCAGCTGCCACATGAAGCAGCCCAAGCTAATTACTGGTAGAACACCCCAATGGACACATGAATGATCCCAGAGGCAACAAGCAGAAGGAAGTCAGCCAACTCACAAAATCATTTTGAGCCTCTGTCCCCTACTTATTGTCACTGTCCATACCCCTAAAAGCTGAGTTGTCTACAGCAGAATTCTGGTAATCAAGTGTTACGAAGGTTCCTGATGAGTTTGTTAAAAAAAAAAAAGGAATTCATTGTGTTTTAACTCTGAATTATTTCAATCACTGATCCTGAAAGAAATAATCTAAATGTACTCTCTCTGTTCTATAAGGAGAAGATATTAAAAAGCAGATCTCATGTCATGGAGACAGCCTTGTATCCTGACTTTGTCACTTAGTAAGCTGTGTGGACTTTGATAATTAAAATAAATTAATGACAATAAGAACACAGACTACCAAAATCTACAGGACATGGTCAAAGTTATATCCAAAAGAAGTCACAACTTTAGATGCTTATTATTACATAAAGCTAGAAATAAATGAACACTCAACTCTCAAGAATCTAGAAAAGATTAAAAATAAGCCAAAAAAGTTGAAAATATAATTAGTTAAGACAAAAACAGAAGTGATCACTTTAAAAACAGTAAAAATGGTAACTAAAATCGATAGCTATTCTTTTAAAAGACTACTAAAAGTAGGTAAATAACAGCTGGCCGCAGTGTCTCACGCCTGTAATCCCAGCACTCTGGGAGGCTGAGGTGGGTGGATTGCATGAGCTCAGGAGTTTGAGACTAGGCTGGGCAATGTGGTGAGTGAGACCTTGTCTCCACTAAAAATACAAATAATTAGCCGGGTGTGGTGGCGTGTGCCTGTAGTCCCAATTATGTGGGAGGCTGAGGCACGAGAATTACTTGAACCCGGCAGATGGAGGTTGCAGTGAGCTAAGATTGCACTACTGCACTCCAGCCTGGGTGACAACGTGAGACTCCAAAAAAAAAAAAAAAAGTAGATAAAAGACAAGACAAATCTTGTTAAGAGAAGACGGAAACAAAAATGAGCATTGAGAAAAGGAGCATTTTAGCAAGCAATAAAGAGGTACTTTTAAAAATTGAGAATGCCATGTACGCCACTGAAGGATAATTTTAAAATTTAACAAAAATAGGCAATTTTCTAGGAAATTTTTATTTTAAAAAAGACTCAGAAGCAGGTGAACAGAGTATCAACATGAAAAAAAATGAAAAGGCCATCAAAGATACACCTTATATCAATTCCTATCAAACCACAGAGCAAAGAGAAATGGTGGCTGGGCCACCACGGTGGCTCATGCCTGTAACACCAGCACTTCTGGAGGCTAAGGTGGGGAGATTACTTGAGGCCAGGAAGTTTGAGACCAGCCTGGGTAACATGGCAAAACCCTGACTCTACAAAAAATGCAAAAATTAGCCAGGCATGGTGGCGTGCCCCTGTAGTCCCAGCTACTTAGGAGGTTGGGGTGAGAGGATTGCTTGAGACTGGCAGGTTGAGGTCCAGCGTGAGCTATGATCATGCCACTGCACTCCTGTCTGGGCAACTGGAAACCCAGTATTAAGGAAAAAAAAAAAAGAAACAGTAATTCCTCAAAAATTAACACCAGAAATAAAGCATCGAACAGATAAAGGAATACTGATTTTTGTGGATATGTATTTGTATGTGAGGAGGAGAGGTTTATATGTTAAATAAGGTAGTCCAGGTGAAACTGAGGGGTTAATTTGATCAGGTCTGCCTGCCCTGTTTGCCTTTGGTAGCTTTCGTCTTGTCATTTTTTTTCTTTTCTTATGAAGCTGAAGGCTGCAGTAGCTGAAGGCTGTGACATTCAAACTTAACCTTCCCTGGCTACTTTATAGATAATGTTCAAAGGTCACCACAGTAACGGTTGCTCGGTTTTTCAGAAACTTGGGCCAGCTCCTGTCCAATTCAAACTGGTCGAGACAACGGATCCTTCAACTGGGCCAGTACAAATACCTGAGAGGTGGCCTTTTGATGCTGGAGGGTCAAAAATGCCACCCTCAGATCCTCCTAAGCATCCTATGAAATGCCATGAACTCTGGCTAGGTTTGTGCAGAATAAACCTGTTACTTCCTTTTTACTCCATGCCAATTACCTTTCCTCATGCCTTAGACCACTCTACTTCCCTAACCCATAAATATCCCTAAGCCTTATCTTCTTCAGGGAGGCAGACTCGAGAGCTCTTCTCCCTCCCTCCTCCTTGCTCAATGCCCTTGCAAAAAAATTTTTCTCTTTTGCAAAATTCATGTTACAGTGATTGATTTACTGTGCATAGGCATAATGGATCTGGAGCTGGCCAGTAATGAAGGAATACTTCTCTGATAAGGTGAGACTTGGAAAATAAACTGAAAGAGAAGAAAAGAACCATGCAGATACCTAGCCAGTCAGGATGTGATAGCTGGGACCACAGTGACTGCAATAGAGGAGATAAAAAGTGATTAGATACTGGATCTACTGAGGTTCAAACCAAGAGGATTTGTCTTTGTTAAAATGAATGCACATTGTAAGAGAAACAGGTATCTATTTGACATTCAAATAGAGATATAAAGGTCTGGAGATCAGCAAAATTACCTACAGCTGCATTGAGCAGCAGCCACACGTGGCTATTAAACACTTGAAATCTGGTTGGCCGGGCGCGGTGGCTCAAGCCTGTAATCCCAGCACTTTGGGAGGCCGAGGCGGGCGGATCACGAGGTCAGGAGATCGAGACCATCCTGGCTAACACGGTGAAACCCCGTCTCTACTAAAAATACAAAAAACTAGCCGGGCGCGGTGGCGGGCGCCTGTAGTCCCAGCTACTCGGGAGGCTGAGGCAGGAGAATGGCCTAAACCTGGGAGGCGGAGCTTGCAGTGAGCTGAGATCCGGCCACTGCACTCCAGCCTGGGTGACAGAGCAAGACTCCGTCTCAAAAAAAAAAAAAAAAAAGGAAATCTGGTTAAGCTGAATTGAGATGTTTTGTAGTGTAAAACACACACCAGATTTCAGAAACTTCATATGAAAAACATGTAATATCTCATTAACATTTTATTTGATTACATGTTGAAATATTTTTTATATACTGGGTTAAATAAAACATTAAAAATAACTTCACCTCTTTCTGCCTTTTTAAAAAATAATAAAGGGGCTGGAATATTATCATGAAGGTTTGCCATTTTTTATTTATTCTTCAGTCAAAAGGTTTTTTTGTTTTGTTTAAAGAGAAGGGGTTTGCTCTTTTACCCAGGCTGGAGTGCAGTGGCACAATCACAGCTCACTGCAGCCCTGAACTCCTGGGTTAAAGTAATCCTCCCACCCCAGCCAGCCTCCTGAGTAGCTGGGATTACAGGCATGAGCCACTGTGTGTGGCTACTAGAAAATTTCAAATCACATATATTGCTTGTATTGCATTTCTGCTGAATAGCACTGACCTAGTTAGTGATACAAATTTGGGAATCATCAGAATAGAGATTTAAATCTATGAACTTGAATGTAATTACCTACTGCTTGAATATAGAAATAGGCAGAGTAGAGACTCAAGAATTAGGTGCTGAGACATTCCAAAGTTGACAAAGGTTGAAGAGATAAAGAGGAACCAACAAAGGAGAGTGAGAAGGAGCATTATGTGTGGTAGGAGAAAGACCAGTAGATGCAGGTATGGAATATTGAAAGATGCCTTTCTTGAGTAGACTCACAAGTAAAAGAAAGAACTAGAGACATTAAGTATACACATTTCATTCAAATTTCTTGCTGTAAAAGGAAACAAAGGAAGGAGATAGTCGGGGGCTCAAGAAAAAATTTTAAAAAATAATTAGAACCAAGAAAAAGATTAAACAAAATGATAAACTCAGGAAAATTATTTCAAACAAAGAGGTAATAGACCTAATGCATAAAGTACTCCTGCAAACTAGTAATATACCAAAAGAAAAGTATATGAAAGTTATGTTTGGACAATTCATAAGACTTGAGTCAACTATATTAAAAAGATATAAACTAGTTACTGTCAAAAATGCAAATTAAAATGGATGGATTCTTGATTATCAAATTGGTAGAGACTGATCATACACTGTATTAAGGGTCATGAAATGGACATTCATATATAATGAGAACTGAAATTCTTCCAACCTTCTGAAAGATGATTTGGCAATGTTGGGTACATATTCCTTGACCTAGAAATGCTTTTTCTAGGACTATTCCTATGGAAAAAAGCTGACATATATGTTTGATGATATGCACAATTATGTTCACTGAAGAATTATTTTTTAGTAACAAATTTTAAAACAGCCAAGGAGATTGCATCAAAAA